GTCTGGCAATGGGAGACACGGCATGGAGGAGGCACGCGTGCACGATTCATGCACGAGTTGAGTGAGCCAGTCAGTCAGCAGTCTCATGTGCAGTGGTTAGTGCTAGTCGCGTCCGCAAATCGCACGCGGGTGACAAAAGTACCTACTCGAAGCATAAAGTTACCTGTATTTTTCCAACCAGCTGCAAATCCTACAGGTATTTTTGTCATCAATTTAAGAATTGTAATTATTTTGTGTTGGTGGCTTTATTATTATAAAATGAGGACGTTTTTAGCAAAGGCCAGCTTAGGAGTACCCTAATTAAGTTAATAACAATGTACCTACCTATATAGCTTAAGTTTATAAAAAATTTGGCTCTCAAAAGAAATTTCAATTGTTGTACTGTTGATATTTGGCTCTGTTGACTAATGAGTTTGCCGACCCCTGGGCTAGGGCCATCTTAAAGCTCTTAAAGCAGTAACTCTGCAGTGGAGAAGTCTGGACAATACTATCTTACCATGGGATGAAGGTTCCTCTCACCTGTGATGTTGTGTGGCTACCACACGCCCCTGATCTGATGTGGGGAGAAGGCACTTCCCTGTGGCATTCTCGCCCCAAACCCTTAAGACCAGTTTAATCAGGAGAAAAACATCAGAGTAACCCAAATTGAGGGACACTCCACAAACTGCCCGAGTGTTACTCCTCAGAACTGAAAAGGTCACGAAAAGCAAGGAAAGCCCGAGCAACTACCACAGGCCAGAGGAGACCAGGGAGGCATGGCAGCTGAATTCAACGAGGAACCAGGGCACCACGGGACAGGTAAACGCAAACTGTTTCAGGGTCCCGCTCTGGGCCCTGAAACTGAAAAAAAGACATCAGTGAGAAAACTGGTGAAATCCAAATACAGTGCGTAGTTTAGTTATAGTGACGCACCATGGTCATGTAAGATGCTCACGGTGGAAGGAAATGGGTGAGGGCATATGGAACTCCGTGTATTATATTTGGAGCTTTTCTGGGAGCCTAAACTTATTTCAAGAGAAGCCATTTATTAAAAGAATTCACCCCCCACAAAAAACCAAACAGTCTTTCCTTGGCTTCCGTGATATTGTGCCGTATATCCTTCCTCTGTGTGTGTGTGTGTGTGTGTGTGTGTGTGTGTGTGTGTGTTCTCACTCACCAAATGACAGCTACCACGTTAGGTACTGTGAATAAGGAGGCCAACAAGGCAAACCCAGTCTGGTTCCTGCCCTCATGGGAATATAGTTTAGAGCAGCGGTCACCAACCTTTTGGACCTCACGGCCCAGCAGTGGTCTGCGGACCACCGGTTGGTGAACGCTGGTTTAGAGCAGGAACTTTGAATTGAGTTGAACTTGAGGTTGAACCAGCTCTGCTCCTCCCTAGAGATTGCATGATCCCAGGTAAGTCCCTTCATCCACTGAAACCTGTTTTTCTTCTCTGTAAAAAGTGAATAAGGACATCTACTTTATAATATTGTTGTGAAGATTCAATGAGATAATATACAAAAGTCCCAACCCATAGTAAATGCTCAATAAACACTCACTAAAGGAACCACTGACACCTGGATCATGTCTGCAGCCTCCCATGCAGTTTCTCTAGTTTCACTTCTATGGAAGGAGTTTAAAGCAAGAAGCAACCAAGAACAACAACAACAAAGGTAAATCCTGGTGATAAGTAAGCACAGGCTGTATAAAAGAGGCGCTGTCATGCTTAAATGGAGGAATCGGCAAACAATTTCGTGAAAGGCATTGGGCCAAAGCCTGGTTAAAACCCTACTTTGATTATTTTTTTATAACAATGAAGCATTTTAGAATATCAGGATATAGAGAGACTGGCTGGCTTCCTAAACCAATTCTACCACTTACTAACCTTGGCAAGTTACACATCTCTCTGTGCTTACTTCCTCTTCTGTCAAGTAGGGACGATAATAGTCCTTACCTCATAGACTTGCTGTAAGGATTAATATAGGTAATCACAATAGGTAAATATAGGATTGAGATAGGTAAAGCATTTAGACCAGTCCCTGGCTCAGAGTAGCTCTGTATGTGTTATCTGTCACTGCCCATTGACCCCCAGTGCCGCGTGGTGCTAATAGCATCTTCCCCAATGGTGGGAGATTTCCATTATCCAAATGGACCAGAATAACAGTTCACTTGGTCTTAGGGGACCTGGTTACGTCTCTACCACAACGACCGGAATCACAGTGGGAATTGTATAACCCAGCCTGCCATTCATTTGACACTGTTTCCATAAATGCTGACTCTGACTAGATAAACAGCATGCTTCTATAGGAATCCCAGGAACGCACTTCCGAAGACATAGGCTCTGACCTTCAGTCATCCCAGTTCTGGGAGATGCTGCCCATGGAAGGAAATGGCTGAGGGGGAAATAGCTGACCTTCAGACCTTCAGCGACCTTCAGATGACATGGAGGCAGGATGACAAAGACCAGGACGATGCACATCAGACCATCACTTGACCAGTTTCCAGGTCCTTATCGGCATGGACTTCGCTGGCCTGCACCTAGAGGACTTCTCAACCCTCCCCCTTCAGCAGCAAGACCCTTTCCATATGAAACTAACCTCATAGATATAAGATTTAAAACTAACGGGGGCGGGGGGGAGGTAATAGGGGAGGGGCACATAATAGAAATTGAATCGCAGTTGTTTAATAGCAGCTCACTATAAAGAGGAGATTTTCTTACAGACCCTGGGAAACTGAAGGACGTGTCACACGAAGGAGAACAGGCCCTGGAGATAAGGCGGCCCGGAGCCCAGATGACGGACAGAACATCTCTGAAGGGAGACAGCATTCCAGGGCTAATCTTCGCAAGGACGACGGAAGAAGGCAGGCCCTGGGAACTCACTAACTTCAGATTTTTTCCCACCCACTGGCCCTGTACAAGAGCTTGAACTGAAATGTCAGAGCACTCTTTCTCAAGGTGCTACCCTGCTGCTCTCTCAGGTCGCCTGCTATCTGATTAATCAACGCTCATAAAAGATTCCACCTTGTCTCTGCTTATTGGCTTAGTGGCGAAGGCAGTAACGGACCCGTCGTGCCCAGTATCACCAGGACGTTTCCTAGTGGGAGGTCTTTTCATTTAAAAAAGTTATTTCTTGAGAGCGTTGGTTGGATGTCACCGGTGACATCAATCTCAACTTGTACCTCATTTGGGACCCTGACAGCCAGATCATGACAGCTTTCAATACGGGTTACACAGCAGCTTCCTTTGTGCGTGCGTGTGTGTGTGTGTGTGTGTGTGTGTGTGTGTGTAGTAAACCTTATTTTTAAGAAAAGATTTAGATTTATAGAAAAAAAAATTGAAGATTAGTACAGAGTTCCCAAATACCTGGCATTCAGTTTCCTGTTATTAACATGATCTTGCCTTTTAAATTCAACACGATGTCTTTGAGATGCATCCACGTTGGTGTGTGGATCTAACTTATTCATTCTCACTGCAGCGTAGTATTCCATGAACCTGGAAGCTTTTTGTGGTGTCCCATGGCCCAGGCTTTAGTGCCCGGAATCCCATCTTCCTCTTCGTGAGGTCCATCCGAACTGAGTTCGGCAGTGAAAATACTTACAAGGTAGTAATGTTATAAAATGTCATCTGGTTTTCAAGGTTAAGAATCAATCTACAGGCCAAGTATGGCAAACTGAACCACCTTTTACAGAATAGAATGTACATACTCCAAACCTTCACAAAGTAAAAGTGAAAATTGAGTTGATGGAGGAAGGCAGAAGTGGGGAGGGGAAATTATTCATTTCACACAGAGGAAAATCAAAAGATACAATCTAAGGAAGAAACAGTTAAGACTATTATCCAAAATTATAATTGTAACCAATAGAAAAACTACAAATATGAATATAAAAAATTTGGGAGGAGAAAGGGGAAAAGGATGGTTAATGAAATCGCCACAGCAGGGAATCAGTAGGTACTGCTAACACCAAGCACCAGAGTGTGAGGACATTACTCACAGTTATGGAAGTGACATAAACAAAAAACTAAAATGACAACCTAATAAAATTAAAAAAAAAAAGAAAGAAAGAAAAGAAAAAAAAGCAAGGCTGCTCCTGAGTTGGGAAGTGAGAGGACATGTTCAAGTTTTGATGTCTAACTTTTATATTTGGCTTCCATGTGCATTTTTATCTCTGTGAATTATCTTTTTATATTTTGAGATAATAATTAAAATAGCAACTAATTAGGCAAAACTGTAGATCTGATTCTGACATTTCCCTAGGGCTCCAGGCTCCTTCGGTCACTCCCCATCACCCTGGGAGCAAGTTCACACGCTCAGACCGTCAAGGCCCTTGGGCGACCTTTGGCTTCAGACACCCACCCACCAAACTGCCTCCGCGCAGGAGCCCGAGGACTGGAGGGAGAGCGCGCCCTCTGCTGGTGCCACGACGTCGGCACGTGCAGGGTGCCGTCCTTGGCGTCTCGTTGGAGCCTGCGCCCCATCCCCACCCAGGGCTCCTTGCGTCACGTGATTCCAGCCCCTTCCCAGGTGGGGGTGGAACCCTGGAATGGGGGCGCCGGGGGACTCCGAGTGGGAGCTTCTGGACGGTTTGGAGCCGAGTTCCCTGAGCGGTAGGGGTCTGTCCTTGTCAGGCCTGGGGTGTCTCGCAGGACAGGACGGACGGGAGGGGCTGGGCAGGGGATGGGGACGGACCCCCTGAGTGTCCGCGGAGGGTTGAGAGCTGGGCTTCAAGATGGAGAGAGGAGACCGGCTCTCACTGCTATGTGCCCGTCCTTGGGCGAGTCACTAGACGCCTCTGTCTCCGTTTCGTCACCTGTGGCTGCCAGTGTGAAATGAAATGATGCTCAGAGACAAGTAATTGATAACTGGTCATTGTTAATATCACAGCCCATTTGAGCAGAAGTGTAAGCCCTCAGCTGGGAAGGCCTTCAGGCGGCTGTAGCTCAACCCTGTTTGGCGGCAGGCCTGTCCCCCTCACGGGGGCTGACATCACCGGCCCCCAGGCCTCCGGCCTGGCGGGCACCTGGAAGGGAGAATGAGCGTCTCCCCCGTTCCCCGTGGCCCGGTGTCCGAACGGGAGTCAGGCCCTCCACCATGAAACCCCTTCTCTCTCCTCACAGGGCCCGCACGCTGCTTTCAGCCCCTCTAGGGGGACAGACATGTCTCATCAAGGGGCTGCCAAGGGCCCCCGCACAGAGGGGCCCGTTCTCAGTCCCCAACGCAGCTGTGGGCTTTTCCAGAAGGACTTGGAGGAAGCCAGCTCCGTGGTGGCGGGCCTGGCACCACACCTGCGGGGGGCGAGCCCTGGGGCCCACGTTTCGGCTGGCAGGAGGAGGCGGGCGCTCGGGGAAGAGGCCCATCGGGGTGCCAGCTCCCCGGCCGAGGGTGCGCCGAGGGCCGGCGCGAAGGCCAAGGCCGACTTGGTGGTCCTGGAGCTGCCAGTTGCGAGACAGAGCCAGGACCCGGTGCCTGGTCCCAGGCTCCACACCCAGCTGCCCACAGCACCTGCTCAGGGACGGCCCCCGGCCTCTAAGAGGCTCCAGCTTTCTCTACACAGCATCTTAGATGAAGACTGGGCCAGGAATCTTTGTAGCGTGTCCGTGGGTCTCCCAGAGAGCGCCCTGGTGGGCAGGGAGAGGCCAGCAGAGGCGGAGGAGGCGAGCTGCCCCAGGCCCAGAGAGGCTGGAGAAGGTGGGAGTTCTCCAGGGTGTGATGGGAGGAGCCCCGCCCTCGGTAAAGAGGAACCCCCCACGCGGGCACTGTCCCCCTCACTAGGCTCAGCCCCTGTTCGGGCGAGAAAGAAAAGCAGGGAGTGTGAGACCTGCTCAGAGGATGGGGAGGGGGTTGGTCAGAGCCCTGGTGGGGACAACCCCCAGTGGGTGGGAGACCCCCCACAAGGAGCTGACTTGGGGTCCTTGGGAGGCCCCTGCAGTCCTCTTCCTCCCAAGGACACTGGGTCTGGGCCAAGAGATTCAGATGGAAGTTGTGTGGGATGTGCCTCAGGGACTAAGTTCCGATATTCGCCCGATGCGGAGGGTGGGGCCCAACCAGGCAGCCCCTACGACCCTGTCCAGTTCCCACTGCCCAATGGCGGGCTGTCCCTCAGGCCAGCTGCCCAGGATCCGCCCCAGAGCCCCGCACTGTGCCCGGGAGTGTCTGGGAAGGCGTCCACAGGGCAGCGGGCAGCTGAGCAGTGGATGGGGAACATGGGGGCTGGCGGTGAGGATGGCCCTGCTGCCTCACACAACCAGGAGGAGCTGGAGGTCAAGGCTTGGCCAGTGTCCATGGGGAGGCCCGGGCAAGGACTCCCTGCTCTCACTGACACCCCTGCCGACTCCCCAGAGTCTGCAGCCAGCAAGGCTCGCTCAGGTCCGTTCATGGGGCAGAGAAGATCCAAGTGTGCTAAGTTGGGGAGGGGCCCAGTGCCCCCTGCCGAGGACCGGGGCACAGACAGAAGCTCCGACAACTTCAGCCGGGACCCGCCAGCAGCATCCCTCCCAGGAGGCTTCCCCAAACTGGTAAGTTGAGCCTGAGAGGTGGGGATAGGAAGGGCCAGGCCAGTCTCTCAATGCCATGCTTGGTGGTGGAATTTAATAGAGCTGAGCTGGATGGACTCTTAATGACCTTTGTCCCACGTGCCCATTTTACACCTGACGACACTAAGGCCCACCAAGTCAGGAGGCTAAAAGTAAACTACACTTGCTGACATCTCGTCAGTGGTCAGTATCTTTTGGAGTTGGTAAGTCCTGGGTTCAAATTTTGCCTCTGCCCACCTCCTAGCTGTGTGCCGTTGGAATATTTTTTAATCTCTCCGTATCTTCATCTGCAAAAAGGAAATACTAATTTCAATTTAAAGGACTAAGTGAGATGATGGCATAAAACAATGTGCCTAGCACAGCAGATGGCACAAGGCAAATTACTTCATTTATGTCAAATTGGCTTTTGCTTTGGTGTCAGCAATTGCCTATAAAGTGGGCACTGGCTCCGTGTTTCCAGGTGGGGAAACTGAGGCTCAGGGAAGTTCACAAACGTCTCCAAGCTCACACACAGCGAGGGAGTCAGTGCCTATCCATGTTCCCTGTATTGTTCTTTTACTTGTAATAATCGTCGTTTTATTAAGAATCATAGCGACCATGTTTACACAGCAAAGGCAGGAGACGGCACTCCCTGCTTTTGGCGTGTGCTTCTCCCATAGTTGATTTTTATCCCACTCGTTGAATAGGTATCGTGTGCTAGGCGCTTTTCATTGAATTTTCACATGAAGCCCGGAGAGGCAAGCTAACAGGTCCCCGGTCCCACATCTGGTAAATGACGGAGCCAGAATGCAAACATAGGCCGTCTGTCCTGAGAGCTCGCGGCACGGCCTGCTGGTGCATCTTCCCTGCTGGGGAGGGGTGCTACTGGGCAGCATTACTGCCGTCACGATCAGTAATAGTACCTAGCCTGCCTACTGTGTGCTAAGCGCTGTTCCAAGCAAGGTGCATCTTCCCTGCTGGGGAGGGGTGCTACTGGGCAACATTACTGCCGTCACGATCAGTAATAGTACCTAGCCGCCTACTGTGTGCTAAGCGCTGTTCCAAGCACTTGATCTTCAATTTTCCTAACCACCCTATGAAGTAGATGCCATTGATATAAACCCATTTTACTGATGTGGACACTGAGGCTCAGAAAGGTGAAATGGCTCGTTCAAGGCCAAACAGCACATTAGTAGCACTGGCATAGGAAGCAGCGAGCTGCCTGTGTGATTGACCCCCACCTGGTGCTGTAATTACATGAGAAGGCGGTTACATTGTCTTTGCAAGCATCACTCAAACACATTAGTTTTTAATAAAAAAAGAATGTGTGTTTATCATAGAAAAGAAAGAAAAAAAATAAAAATTCCCATAATGTCAACATTCAGGGCTATTTCCTGGTGACATTTTGGTATATGTCCTCTTTCCCATCTTTTTCCTATGCGTATATATCTTTTCTTTGCCTAGAAATGGGGTCACGTGTGCCAAATTTTTTATAACTTGATTTTTGGTATTTAACCCCCCCCCCCCAATTAATTAATTGTTAGCACAGAACGAGGAAATCCCTTTGAACGCCGCCCGGCCCCTTGCCTTTTGTGGAGATAACCGTGTGAACAGTCTCTCCTGCCTGCTCTCTATGAACCCTATACATATGTGAACACCTACACCTTGTGCCTTCCTGTCTGTGAGGAGGCTCATCCTGCGCCTCATTGTTCCAGGACCTGTACTCGGTTTACTTTTCACGCGCTGTAGCATTTGAAGATCTTTCCAAGTTGGTGCCTATTGTTTGGCGAATCCCCGAGCCTGCATCACAGCAGCTACGGACGTACTTGTCACAGGCCCTGCTAGGACCGGAGGATGGGCCGGGACTTCCTTTTCTCATTTCCTACCTCTGCAGTGTGGCTCAGAGCACGAGGCCTGGAGGCCACCAGCCAGGCATTGGGTCCTGGCTTTGCCCCTATCGGAGTGACCCAGGCAAGCGACTTCACCTCCGGGGGCAGCTCCGAGGGTGGAGGCTCGGAGCATGAGATGGCGTGTGCTTGGCATTTAGCAAGGTGCCCGGTGCGAGGACGATATTCAGAAACGTTACCTGCTGTTGACACACAGTTCGTCCTGCTCTGAGTCACGCTGGGGTGAACATCGCTGCGCATTATCGGGGCCAGGTGCCCAGCATGGGGATTCCTGGGCCCACAGCGTTCTGAGGGGCTAGTCTGAGCTGGGTGGCGGAGCCAGGTGCCCGCCCGCCTCGCCTGGAAGGCGCCCACGGCTGCTCTCGCCTCCAGGCCCCGTCCTTGACTCTGCAGCCCAGCCCAGCATCCCACAGCTTCCCAAATAACCCGTTGCCATGGCAACTGGTGGCAGCTGCAGGAGAATGGAGGCTGGGCATGACAGGGACGGGCAGGTGGTTGAGGACAGGGCTGAGTGGGGCATGGAAGAGTGCCCAGCTGGTCCGGAGCCCCTTTTTGGGCCCTAGCACCTTCTCTGGGGGGCAGCCTGGCTTGTGCCAGGGGCAGACAGATGGGTTCAAGGTCAGGCTCTGTTTCTTACTTCGGATGAGAGATGTCTCTCGTCTGAATCTTAGTTTCTTCCTCTACAAAATGGGGGAGTCAGCTGGGCCCCAGAACTGTTGGGAATCTGGGGTGTGAGGTTGGTCGTGTGGAATTCCTCTGGATTGAAGTAGAGACTCTTGGAGGGGCGGGGGAGGGGGGTGGAGACGCCATTTTCTTCTCTGTCCTGAGCCCCGCAGTGGTCAGTGAGGTCTGGAGCTGCTCTGCGGAAGGCAGGGGACGTGGGTAGGGCAGCTCTGCCCACCACAGCCAGGGAGGCACAGAGCTGCTCGGCCCCACCCAGGTTCCCCGCCTCAGGGGTCCTGTGTAGCTGCAAAGTGTCAGAAGGCGTGTGAGGGAGGACTGTGTCTTTCCAACAGATGGACAACCTAAGAATAGCTCCTTTCTTTGAGTTCTTATTGTATACAAGGAGCTTCACATATATCATCATCTCATACTTAGTCCTCACCATGGCATTAGAAGTCAGTGTTCGTACCTCTGCTTTGCCAAATAAGAAATCTTGGATTCAGAGAAGGTATGTGGCCCACTCAGGGTCACACAGCAAGTGAGTGGCGTGGCCGGGACTTAAATCCAGGCCTGCAAGACTCCAGAGTCCACGCTCTGAGCCAGGCTGCCAAAGGCCTGGCGAAGGGTTTGGATTTGTATGGGACTTTATTATAATTTCTTCAACAAGCGGCAAGTGGGAGATACGTCACCAGAGAGTCAAGATACAGACTGAAGTCCAGCAGACCCTGGGTACCTAGAGGGCAATTGAGTCTTCCCTGGGGAGGGCTGGGTGGGAGGGTTTTCAGCTAGGGTAGGGCAGAGGAGGGGCTGTCCGAGCTGGGCCTGGGCAAAGGAAGCAGGTGTTCAGCAGGTAGACAAGGTAGGAAGGGTGTACCGAGCACGTGCAAAGGTCTAGCAGCGGTTCTCAACCTGTGGGTCGTGACCATTGGAAAACACATATAGCATATCAGATATTTACATTACGATTCAGAACAGTAGCAAAATTACAGTTATGAAGTAGCAACAAAAATAATTTTATGGTTGGGGGTCACCACATCATGAGGAACTGTATTAAAGGGTCGCGGCATTAGGAAGGTTGAGAACCACTGGTAGAGGCAGGAGGCAGGTTGGAGCCTTATGTAGTCGGGTCTTTGCTTCTGTTATTTTTTAATCCTCACCCGAGGATATGTTTAAAGAGAAGAGAAGAGAGAGAGAGAGAGAGAAAGAAACATCCATTGGTCAGTTGCCTCCCATGCCGCCCCGACTGGGGATTGAACCCGAAACCTAGGTACATATGCCCTGACCTGGAATTGAACCTGCAACCTTTTGGTATACAGCACAACACTCCAACCAACTGAGCCAGCTAGAGCACTTCTAGTTATTTTTTGCCTGTTTTATCTGATATTAATATAGCTACAAACCTGTATTTGGTTGGTAATTGCCTGTTCACATATTATTCCATTTTTCCCTCTCAATCCTTTGCATTGCTATATTTTAGAAATGGGTCTTCTGAACATCTTATAATTGGGCTTTCTTTGTTAAAGGTTTGATAATTATTTTTATTTGTCTGAAGTATTTGTCCATCTACATTTGTTGTAATTACTGATTTATTTGAATCTAATCCTACTGTCTTATTTTGTGTTTTACATATATCCTGCATTTTCTATACTTTTCCCCTTTTACTTCCTCCTTTTAGATTGATTTTTTTCTTATTCTTTTTCTGTCTCTCTAGAGGATTGGAAGTTTTCTGTGCCCTGTTTATATTCTTTTGGTGGCTATTTTAGAAATTTTAACATGAATACCTCACTTACCAAAGTATAAAGGTAGTTACATCTTTATCTTCCTCTGAAATTATATAAGGATCTTGGGATGCTTTAATTCCAAGCATGAACCTTCCCCCAATTTTTTTTTTAAATCCTCACTTGAGGATATTTTCCTTTTGATTTTAAAGAGTGGAGGAGAGAGGGAAAGACAGAGAGAAATATCGATGTGAGAGAAACACATCGATTGGTTGCCTCCTGGACATGCCCTGACCAGGGCCTGGGCCAGGGAGGAGCCTGCAACCGAGGTCCACGACCTTGACCGGAATCAAACCTGGGACTCTTTGGTCTGCAGACCGACGCTCTATCCACTGAGCCAAACCGGCCAGGATGAACCTTCCCAATTTATGTGCTGTTGTTATCCAGTGAGTTGGTCCTAAGTTATTTTTTTAATTCCACAAACTACACATTGTTATTACAGTATCATAAGTCAATGTAGGTTTAGATTTAACAACATATTTATCATTTTCTTTGCTCAAGATTTCTCCTTGCATCTCAGCGTTTCTACCTGGGATCATTTTTCCTTTCTTCTGCCTCAAGTTCATCCTTTAACATTTTGGTTATTGAAAAAAAATTAAATTATCAAGAAAAACAATAACTCGCTTTTCTTTACGGTGTTTTTATTTTATCCTCATTCTCAGAAAAGATTTTGTCTGGGTCCACAATTGATAGTTATTTTCTTTAAGCTCATTGAAACTATCATACTGCTGTGTTTTGCCTTCCACATTACTATCGAGAAGTTAGCTGTTCGTCTAATTGTCATTCTGTGGTAAGTAAAAGGCCTTCTGGTGAGAGGCATTGCAGAGGAGCGGTTACAGGCGTGGCCCCTGGAATCGGACTGCCTGGATTTAAGTCCCGGCTCTTTGGTTTACTAGCTGTGTGACTGACCAACCTCTCTGTGCTTCAGTTTTCTCTTCTGTAAAATGGGGACAATATTGGTACCAGTGCTCCGCTCATAGGCTGTGGTGAGGATTGAGTGAACTAACATGTACAGCATGCAGAACAGTTATAGTGCCTTTTCAGTGTTATTTACGTATTAGCGGTTATTTTTCTTTCTTGATGCTCTCAGGATCTCCTTATCGTTGGTGTTGAACAGTTTCATTATGATTTGTCCAGGTGTGGATTTGCTTTCACGTATCCAGTTTGAAATTCACTGAGCTTTTTGAATCTGTGAATTGTTGTCTTTGATCAATTCGGGAAAATTCTTAGCCATAGATCTTCAAATAGTACCTCTGCCCCATTCTCTCTCCTCTCTCCTGGGACTTTAGGTTAATTAGTCCTTTCACTCTATCTCTAGTGTCTCTTTGACTGTGTCTCACCGTCTTTGTGCTGTGAATAGTCTCAGTAACTTATTAAATCTATCTTCCAGTTCACTACCTTATTTCCGTTGTGTTAATATGCTATTAAACCTATATATTGAGTTTTTCATTTTAATTATTATCATATTTTTCATTCCTAAAATCTGTGTTTGGTTCCCAACCAAATCTGCTTGATCATTTTTTAAATTCCTCACCCAAGGATATATTTATCAATTTTAGAGAGAGAGGAAGGGAGAGAGAAGCATAGATTGGTCGCTTCCTGTACACACCCTGACTGGCGTTCGAACCCATAACCTAGGTATGTGCCCTGACCAGGAATTGAACCTGCGACCTTTCAGTGTACGGCATGACACTCCAACCAGCTGAGCCACACCAGTCACGGCGTGCTTGATCATTTGAAAAATTTATATATCTTTTGCCTTTCGCCTTTTTTTTTGGTTATGTTCGACTCCTTTTATTTTGTTAAGCATGTTATATATATGTATTTTGCATTTTGGTCTGATAAATCCAGTTCCTAAAGTCTTTGCTGGTCTGATTGCTGTGTTGTTTGGAGCCTCCTAATGCTGCAATGCGGACCCTGAGATGGGGCCTGCCGAAAGGTTTTAAATTGTGAAGGGCTGTCCTTAATATCTTTCCTGCTTTCCGTCCCAGATGTCCCGTTTTCTCCCCCCACCCCCCTTCTCAGTTTATTTTTTTTAAAAGGCTGATTCATTCCCATGGTTAAAAAAAAAAAAGTGAAAAGTTTCCTTCCCAGCTCCCAGTCCCTTTCCTATTGGCAGCCTCATTTATTAGGTTCTGGTGGATACTTCCAGCGATATTTTATGCAGAGTCAAGCAAATACAAATTTAAAAAGTCTTTTTCTCTCTTTTTAGTGCAGTGGTAGCACACGACACACATTGTTCTGAACGTGTGTTTCAGTAAAAAAAAAAATGTTTCTAGTTATAAAAGAAATACGTGCTCATTTTAAGTAACATAAATGCCCAAGTGCCTATATGTGGAAAGCAACCCCCCACCCCTGCAATTTCATTCCCTAGAGATAACCTCTATTATGCAACTATAACTATGTATTTACATAAATGGGCTTATGCAACAGATACTATTCTGTCAGCTATTCTTATTCTCCTAATAGTACAGCAAGACATCTTACCGTATCAGTCAGTGCTGCTGCCTAACTCAGCAGCTTGGTGCCTGGGCTTTGAGGCAGACAGAACTAGGTTCTGATCCTAGCTCCGCTGCTTAGGAGCTACGGGACTTTTCAGATCCTCTCTGAGCCTCAGTTTCCTAATCTGTGAAATGGGGATAGAAATAGTACACACCTCATAGTGTTGTTCTGAGACCTTCATAAGATTACATGTGATGTGCTTTCTCCAGGGCCAGCTACCTTCTAAGCACCTGATGAATAGTAGTTTATATAATGACTCACCTTTTTAAAAAAAAAAAAATATATATATTTATTGATGTCAGAGAGGAAGAGAGAGATAGAAACATCAGTGAAGAATCATTGATGCAACAGATACTATTCTGTCAGCTATTCTTATTCTCCTAATAGTACAGCAAGACATCTTACCGTATCAGTCAGTGCTGCTGCCTAACTCAGCAGCTTGGTGCCTGGGCTTTGAGGCAGACAGAACTAGGTTCTGATCCTAGCTCTGCTGCTTAGGAGCTACGGGACTTTTCAGATCCTCTCTGAGCCTCAGTTTCCTAATCTGTGAAATGGGGATAGAAATAGTACACACCTCATAGTGTTGTTCTGAGACCTTCATAAGATTACATGTGATGTGCTTTCTCCAGGGCCAGCTACCTTCTAAGCACCTGATGAATAGTAGTTTATATTATGACTCACCTTTTTTTTTTTAATATATATTTATTGATGTCAGAGAGGAAGAGAGAGATAGAAACATCAGTGAAGAATCATTGATTGGCTGCCTCCTGCACCCAACTGGGGATTGAGCCTGCAACCCAGGCATGTGCCCTTGACTGGAATTGAACCTGAGACCCTTTAGTCTGAAGGCCGATGCTCTATCCACTGAGCCAAATCAGCTAAGGATATGACTCACCCCTTTTAATAGCCACATAGACTCCATAGTATGACACGTCACTTTTTATTACCCATCCCTCCTTTTTAAATTTGATTATTTTTTTAAATCCTCACCTGAGGATATTTTTTTATTGATTTCTAGAGAGAATAGAAAGGATAGGAGGGGTGGTAGGGAAGAAAGGGAGGGATGGAGGGGGAGGGAGAGAGAGAGAGGGAGAGAAACATCGTTGTGAAAGAGACACATTGATTGGTCGCCTCCTGTACATGCCCAACCAGGATTGGGGAGTGAACCCGAAACCCAGGTATGTGCCCTTAACCAGGAATCAAACCCGAGACCTCAGGTGCTCGGGCTGATGCTCTAACCACTGAGAACACCGGCCAGGGCTTAACCATTCCTCTTTGATGAACATTAGATTGTACTCAATTTTTTTGGGTTATAAATACCAATGCAGCGAACACTGAACATACATCTCTCACCTCTGTGGGTCCCTAGATCCTCTGCATTCTAATCTCTGCCTCCTCTTTCTCTTCAAGGAGGAAATGAAGATGCCCCGCGGGGTGAAGCGTGTGTGCTACGTAGGTCTTTACTTTTCATTACAGCCCTCTTCCTCCCTCTGCCCAGGTCTGGTGGGATGGGGGCTTCTCCAATTAGCGGCAACCCCAGCCCCCTGGCCTGCCCCCGACCCCTGCCAGAGCCCCCTAGTGCTCCACTCCCTGTGATGCTGAATCTCAGACTTCCGCTTTCCCCCAGACCTTGGAACCTGACCATTCATGGTCATTTATTCAAGGATTACTTTTCAGACCCATTTGCTTTCAAAACAATTCCCCATAGTTTGCAATAAAGCAAATGAATCAAAACACACTTAAAGTGGGATTGAAGCCTAAAGAAAGCAAGAAAAAGGGAAGGAGAAAGGGAAATATTTTTACAACAA